GTGCTTCCCCTACCTCTGCCTGTCCCCATGCGCCCCCTCTGTCTGCCTGTCCTGTCCCCACGTGCTTCCCCTCTGTCTGCCTGTCCTCTTGTGCACACCTCGGTCTGCCTGTCCCCACGTGCTTCCCCTACCTCTGCCTGTCCCCATGCGCCCCCTCTGTCTGCCTGTCCTGTCCCCACGTGCTTCCCCTCTGTCTGCCTGTCCTCTTGTGCACACCTCGGTCTGCCTGTCCCCACGTGCTTCCCCTACCTCTGCCTGTCCCCATGCGCCCCCTCTGTCTGCCTGTCCTGTCCCCACGTGCTTCCCCTCTGTCTGCCTGTCCTCTTGTGCACACCTCGGTCTGCCTGTCCCCACGTGCTTCCCCTACCTCTGCCTGTCCCCATGCGCCCCCTCTGTCTGCCTGTCCTGTCCCCACGTGCTTCCCCTCTGTCTGCCTGTCCTCTTGTGCACACCTCGGTCTGCCTGTCCCCACGTGCTTCCCCTACCTCTGCCTGTCCCCATGCGCCCCCTCTGTCTGCCTGTCCTGTCCCCACGTGCTTCCCCTCTGTCTGCCTGTCCTCTTGTGCACACCTCGGTCTGCCTGTCCCCACGTGCTTCCCCTACCTCTGCCTGTCCCCATGCGCCCCCTCTGTCTGCCTGTCCTGTCCCCACGTGCTTCCCCTCTGTCTGCCTGTCCTCTTGTGCACACCTCGGTCTGCCTGTCCCCACGTGCTTCCCCTACCTCTGCCTGTCCCCATGCGCCCCCTCTGTCTGCCTGTCCTGTCCCCACGTGCTTCCCCTCTGTCTGCCTGTCCTCTTGTGCACACCTCGGTCTGCCTGTCCCCACGTGCTTCCCCTACCTCTGCCTGTCCCCATGCGCCCCCTCTGTCTGCCTGTCCTGTCCCCACGTGCTTCCCCTCTGTCTGCCTGTCCTCTTGTGCACACCTCGGTCTGCCTGTCCCCACGTGCTTCCCCTACCTCTGCCTGTCCCCATGCGCCCCCTCCATCTGCCTGTCCCAATGCGCCCCCTCTGTCTGCCTGTCCTGTCCCCACGTGCTTCCCCTCTGTCTGCCTGTCCTCTTGTGCACACCTCGGTCTGCCTGTCCCCACGTGCTTCCCCTACCTCTGCCTGTCCCCATGCGCCCCCTCCATCTGCCTGTCCCAATGCGCCCCCTCTGTCTGCCTGTCCTGTCCCCACGTGCTTCCCCTCTGTCTGCCTGTCCTCTTGTGCACACCTCGGTCTGCCTGTCCCCACGTGCTTCCCCTACCTCTGCCTGTCCCCATGCGCCCCCTCCATCTGCCTGTCCCAATGCGCCCCCTCTGTCTGCCTGTCCTGTCCCCACGTGCTTCCCCTCTGTCTGCCTGTCCTCTTGTGCACACCTCGGTCTGCCTGTCCCCACGTGCTTCCCCTACCTCTGCCTGTCCCCATGCGCCCCCTCCATCTGCCTGTCCCAATGCGCCCCCTCTGTCTGCCTGTCCTGTCCCCACGTGCTTCCCCTCTGTCTGCCTGTCCTCTTGTGCACACCTCGGTCTGCCTGTCCCCACGTGCTTCCCCTACCTCTGCCTGTCCCCATGCGCCCCCTCCATCTGCCTGTCCCAATGCGCCCCCTCTGTCTGCCTGTCCTGTCCCCACGTGCTTCCCCTCTGTCTGCCTGTCCTCTTGTGCACACCTCGGTCTGCCTGTCCCCACGTGCTTCCCCTACCTCTGCCTGTCCCCATGCGCCCCCTCCATCTGCCTGTCCCAATGCGCCCCCTCTGTCTGCCTGTCCTGTCCCCACGTGCTTCCCCTCTGTCTGCCTGTCCTCTTGTGCACACCTCGGTCTGCCTGTCCCCACGTGCTTCCCCTCCCTCTGCCTGTCCCCATGCGCCCCCTCCATCTGCCTGTCCCAATGCGCCCCCTCTGTCTGCCTGTCCTGTCCCCACGTGCTTCCCCTCCGTCTGCTTGTCCCCATGCATGCCCTCCATCTGCCTGTCCTGTCCCCACATGCTTCCCCTCCATCTGCCTGTTCTGTCCCCATGCGCCCCCTTGGTCTGCCTGTCCCCATGCGCACCCCCTCTTTCTGCCTGTCCTGTCCCCATGTGCTTCCCCTCCGTCTGCCTGTCCCCATGCGCCCCGTCTGTCTGCCTGTCCCCATGCGCACCCCTCGGTCTGCCTGTCCTGTCCCCACGTGCTTCCCCTCCGTCTGCCTGTCCCCATGCGCACCCCCTCTTTCTGCCTGTCCTGTCCCCATGTGCTTCCCCTCCATCTGCCTGTCCCCATGCGCCCCATCCATCTGCCTGTCCCCATGTGCCTCCTCTGTTTGCCTGTTGCCATGTGCACCCCCTGCATCTGCCTGTCCCCATATACTCCCTCTGTCTGCCAATCCCCATGTGCACCCCCTGTTTCTGCCTGTCCCCATACATGCGCTCCTTCTGCCTGTCCCCAAGTGCACTCCCTTCATCTGCCTGTCCCCATACTCCCCCTATGTTTGCCTGTCCCCATACATTCCTCTGCCTGCTTGTCCCCATACACTCCTCCATCTGCCTTTCCCTATGTGCACCCCTCCATCTCACTGAACCCCCCTCTGTCTGCCAGCCCCTATGTACACCCCCACCTACCTGTCTCCATGAGCACCCCCTCCATCTACCTGTACCCATGTACATCCCCCTCCACCTCATATGTCTGCCTGTCCCCATGTACACTCCCCACCACCTCCTCAGTCTGCCTGTCCCCATGTGCACCCCCTCTCTCTTCCTGTCTCCCTCCATCTCCTCAGTCTGCCTGTCCCCATACAACCCCTCTCCACTCCCTCATTTTGCCTGTCCCCTTATGCACCCCTTCTGTCTCCCTGTCCCCATACACCCCCTCTACCTCTTCTGTCTGCCTTTCCCCATATACACCCTTCTCTCCATCCCATTCACACCCCTCTCTCTGCCCATCTATCCCCATTTACACCACCTTAACCTCCCACCCTCCTAGAGACAGCACAGGTTCTATCTAGCCCCGAGTCCCCAGCTTGAGGCTCAGTGGCAGTGAAGCTGCTACCCATGGGGGCAGGCATTGCGGACAGTTTGTGGGGCAGGCTGTGTGGATGGGGCAGATCCTGGTCCATGCACTGCCCAGGTGCTGAGTGAGGTTCTCAGTCCTGAATCCACCACAGAGAAATCCTTGGGCATCCTTGCCACCCCACCCCTCTCTGCAGGGCAGGGGCTCGGTGTCCCTCTGCAGCCTGAGCCAGGGCCCCCCCAGCCTTGGGAGGGCAGCAGGAGCTAGTGGGGGGAGCCAGGAGTCAGGACACCTGGGTTCTATCCCCAGGCCTGGGAGGGGAGCAGGATCTGGGGGGTAGAGCCGGGGGAGGGGCTGGGATCAGAGTCAGCATTTATAGCACCGATCATTTTAGTCCCCGAGACGCAAGGGGAAGTGAAGAGTCATTAGTTGTAGGAGCAGAAAGAGGGCGCCTGTGTGACTCATAGAGTGTCCTTCCGCCTAGGGGCACCCACGGTGGAGATGGTCAGAGAGTGGGGGGTGCATGGAGCTGCGTAATGGGGTGAGGGGAGGGATAGATGGAGAGTAAGTTGGATGAGGATCAGGGTGCTGCCCAGACCCAGCCAGCGACAGACCTTACTGAGAGATAGAACCCCAGAACCCTGCCCCTCCTTGCTCTAATACATCTATTGCTCACATTGTACAATTACAGATGCATCTAATGTCTCCTCAAAACACTGCACAGGATGTGAACATTGTGACCCATTCGCCAGCCCTCGAAGTGCAGTTGCTTCTGGGGTGGGGGTGGGGGGAAGCAGTCACTATTTCATAGAGAAGCCACACAGGGATGGCGGGATGGGTCAGCTGGCTGCCGGCTCTAAACAACACTCTCTGGTACCTTGTTACCCATTGAAGCTGTTCTGATTTGCCTTGCAGACACCAAGAGCCCTTTGTGTCCCCTAAATGTGATGTCTGTGGGCCCATACTAGGCAAAGCTGGGGGGAGGGTGAGAACTAAGAGTGATTCTCCCTGGAGCTGCAATAGTAGCTGGTTGTCTGGGCTGATCCCACCGCTGACACCCATCTCGGAGGCAGTGGGGTCAAGGCTGATAAAAATAATCTCTCCCCTTGAGAGTTGAGAGAGTGGAGCTGAAACTTCCTAGCTCTCAGGAGCAAGACATTTGCTGTTTAGGAGATAATAAATCCTAGTGGTTAGAAGCAGTGTGGGGAAGGGAAGGGCGGGCTCAGAGGGTCGCGTTAAAGCACCCTCATCTCTGCCCCCATTCATGCATGCCCTCAACTCTGCCCCCTTCGTAGATTACAAGCCCATATCTGGTGGCCAAGCTGCAGTACCCTTAACTCCACCCCCTGTGTAGATTTCAAGCGCATATCTGGTAGTTGAGCTAGAGCAGAGCTGCTGAAAGGAGCCATCCATGTCTGCCTTTGTGATCTGGGTTAAAAAGCCCTCTGCACCCCAAAATCTCCTCCTCGGGGATAAGGGTAGGGGGAAATGTGTGTGTGTGTGTGTGTGTTATCATTTAATGACTCAGTTTCCCCACTTGCTTGGCCTGGCTTCCCACTGGATGCGAAGGGCTTAACTTCTCCCAGGGAGAGTGACATGCAGACAGATGCCGAGGAGGCCGGCAAGGAGCAGACCACGCTGTGCAAAGCAGCAGGCAGAATGGGTGCAGACAGTGCCGGGGGATCGAGGGTAGTTCCTCGCCCGGCTGCCCTCGCTGATTCGCTGTCAACTCCCCGCTGCTGCCCAGGCCTGCTCTGTGTGGTGACCTCCAGTTCCAGATCCTCTAACCACCAGACCCCACTTCCCTCTCAGAGCTGGGGTACAACCCAGGAGTCCTGGCTCCCAGCCCCTCCCACCCCATCTTGTCTTGACATGTGAAAATCAGACTGGTGTCATGAAGAGCCAGGAAGCCTTTATCACAGTTCCTTTTCCTCCCCTCCTTCCTCCCCCCAGGGCTAGTGGGTAGAAATACATGAGCAGGGATATTTGTTTAGCTGCCAGAGTTACATCCCATTGCCTAGCGGGTTGCTGTCCCCTAGGGGCTTGGACCGGACACCCAGAGGCTAGCCCAATCCCAGGGCCAGGGTAAGTGCTGTGCAGAGTGTCTGTGTTTACTTCTGGAGCAGGGGACATGTTTTGGGACAGGGGCTCTTAGACTTGCAAAGCAGCTTAAACTAAAACAGAAGGTGCTGCTCTTAATTTACTATCAGCTGTCCCACCCCAGAAGTGGCTGCATCTTAGCACTGGGTGAGCCATCCCCACATGGTGTTCTGTGCAGATGTTCCCTGGCTGCTCCACCTCAGAGGTGGCTGCATCTCAGCATTGGGTGAGCCATCCCTAGGGAGTGTCATTTTGTGGGTGCTCCCCTGCCCCAGAGCAGGCTGCTATGCATGTAGCATTGGTGGGCAGCTGGTAACAGTGCAAAAGTGTAACTGAAGTTTTATTGTCGATTTATTGTTCATTATTATTTGCTCTGTTGTGATGCTGAGCCCCACACGGACAGGTGCCCCGTTGTGCTAGGTGCTGTACAAAGGACTAGCACTGCCCCTCTGGGCAGCCGGGGCAGAGTTCAGGGCTGGGGAGGTCGGGGCAGAGTTCAGGGCTTGCACACTGGGCATGTGGCTCAGCCAGGCCGTTTGTAACCGCGCCGGCTGGAAGCTTCGGGCAGAGCCAACGCAGGGAGCAGCTTATGAGCCAGAGAGACTCCCTGGGGTCTTTGCTGAGCCATTCTGCGCCACACCCTACAGACCTCCTCCTCTCTGGGGGGGGAGCGGGGACCTCAGTCCCATGGCCTGTCCAGCCGGCAAGGGGCTGGTTAATGCCACCTGGGACGGCGACTCGACAGGGTTTGCTAAGAACACGTCTCAGCTACTCACAGCTCACTCCACCCAGCCGCCTCCCAGGGAGAAACCCTTCCCCCAGTATGGCCCCTTGGGAGCCACCCAGCCCCAACCCCACCTGCCCCACCTCTCATCTCAAAGCCAAAGGTAGAACCTGATGTCCAGTCCCCTATAGCCCTAACCACTAGCCACCGCTCCCTTCCAAGAGCCAGGGAGAGAACCCAGGAGTCCTGACTCCCCACCCTCATCCCTTGCTCTAACCACTAGACCCCACTCCTCTCTAAGGGTATGTCTAAGGGTAGTTCGAACTAGGGGGCGAGTGTAGACATACCCTGAGAGCTGGAGAAAGAACCCAGGAGTCCTGCTTTCACCACTAATCTTTGTGCTGCAAGCCCCAAAGAGCTGCCTGTAGCTGGCCCCTTCCGCCTCCTCTATGAGAATCTGTTCTTAGAATCCCTGTCACATCAGATTGGCCAAGAGGTGAACTCAGTGTCTCTGGTGCGGGTGGGCAGGACAGGCAGGCCCAGCCCCCGGGGCCGTGCCGCAGTGCCTCCTGGTCAGCAGTGACCTTGGGAAGGGCCCAGATGTCCTGGGGGAGCCCGCTGCCCAGGACCTCCCGCTGGAGCTGCTGAGGAACGGTGCATGGCATGGGAGAGGCCACGCCTGGTGACTGCACCCAGCTCTGGGGGGCCGCACGTCAGACCGGACATTGGGAAATCAGGAAAGGGTCAAAGAAGAGCAGCGGAGTGCCTCCTGGTCAGCAGTGACCTTGGGAAGGGCCCAGATGTCCTGGGGGAGCCCGCTGCCCAGGACCTCCCGCTGGAGCTGCTGAGGAACGGTGCATGGCATGGGAGAGGCCACGCCTGGTGACTGCACCCAGCTCTGGGGGGCCGCACGTCAGACCGGACATTGGGAAATCAGGAAAGGGTCAAAGAAGAGCAGCGGGAATGATCTGAAATCTGCTCTAGAGCCCAGGCTGGCGGCAAGCGATCGAGTGCCTCTAACCTGGAGATGAGCTCTGGGCCTGTCACATTTCGGGGAGCAGAGGGCTCGTCAACCAGACAGGCAAAGCAAGAGCTGGAGAAGGAGCTGGGGGATGGAGCCAGAACCCGACACTGGGCATAAGGGGCAGAGTTTCCCCAGGAGGGGGCTGCCCCTGGGAACGACTGCCCAGGATCAGACCCACTAGACCCTCCAGCCCTCGGAGTCTTTCTATGGAGATCAGAGGACCTTAAAAACACGGCTGTAGCTCGACCATCTGATGAAGGCTGGGGGCCAGGATCCCTGGGGGGCGCTCTCTAGCCTGGGCAAACTGCGCAGGCACACTGGTTCCTGCTGGCGCTAAGATCAATGAACACAGGCTGGGCTGGGAGCCTGTGAGTTTTCCCTGGTGAGTCAGGAAGCTGCCGTGCTGCATAACGTTAAACAAGCGAGGGCGTAAGTGCTGTTTGCCACGTGGGTTACAGTCGTGTCTAATGACCCAGCTGGGATCAGGGCCCCGTTGTGCCAGGCGCTGGCCACACCCAGCCAGAGTGCCAAGCCTGGGAAATGGAGGCAGGGGACGCTGTGCATGGACACACGGGGTCCCTGCGGGAGCCTCGCGCAGTTCATGAAGCCGGCTTTAGCACTGATTTGATGCAGCAGTAGGGCAAGGAACCCCCAGGCCTGTCTCCTTGCTTCAGCAGCTGGCCCACAGCTTGGGGTCCTGTGAGCTTTGGCGCAGACCAGCAGCCCCACATAATCCCTGAGTTCTGGGGATCTGGGAGCAGAGTGTTCAGGGGCGTTTTGTCCTGAATGGCACTGGGAGCGCGAGCTAACACCAGCTGGGGTGTTTTAGCCTGAGCCCACTGCAAGGGAGCCATGACCTTCCAGGAGGAGATGGGCCCCAGCGCGGGGGAGGGGGGGTACGTAAGCAGGAGGGGAGACAGCCCCATGGAACAGGCACTAGGTGGTCTCCTAGATCTCCTGCCTCAGCCCCAGCCCCACAACTCCTGACCTTTTGAAGACACCCTTTGTGCTCAAACCGTTTTCACAGGAAGCCTTGGTGGGCCCAAACCCAGCCCCTTTTCGTACAGGCCCTCTGGCCACGCGCCCCCTGGAGGAGATGGAGACCCTGCTGCTGGCCCTCTCCATCCTGACTGGTGAGTGTGCCCGCTGCCCTGGGGCTGGGGCTGGGACTGGGATGCCATGGGCGGGAGGAAGAGGGAGCTGGGAATGTGGGAGACTCTGCCATGGGAACAGCCCCACACAGCAGCACTTGGAATCCAGCAGGGGGCATGTGGAATGACTGGGGTTCAGCTGTGACCTCTAGGGGGCGCTGTGCTGTGGGGGGCTCTCCCCAGGCAGTCAGGGCTGTCTGCAATGCCCCAAGGCGGTACTAGGGAGTGCTGTGCACTCTCCCCGGGCCCCAGGGCGGTACTAGGGGGCGCTGTGCTGTGGGGGGGCTCTCCCCAGGCAGTCAGAGCTGGCTGCAATGCTCCAAGGCGGTACTAGGGGGCGCTGTGCACTCTCCCCGGGCAGTCAGGGCTGGCTGTGGTGCCCCAGGGCGGTACTAGGGGGCGCTGTGCAGTTTCCCCGGGCAGTCACTCTCCCCGGGCCCCAGGGCGGTACTAGGGGGCGCTGTGCTGTGGGGGGGCTCTCCCCAGGCAGTCAGAGCTGGCTGCAATGCTCCAAGGCGGTACTAGGGGGCGCTGTGCTGTGGGGGGGCTCTCCCCAGGCAGTCAGAGCTGGCTGCAATGCTCCAAGGCGGTACTAGGGGGCGCTGTGCTGTGGGGGGGCTCTCCCCAGGCAGTCAGAGCTGGCTGCAATGCTCCAAGGCGGTACTAGGGGGCGCTGTGCTGTGGGGGGGCTCTCCCCAGGCAGTCAGAGCTGGCTGCAATGCTCCAAGGCGGTACTAGGGGGCGCTGTGCTGTGGGGGGGCTCTCCCCAGGCAGTCAGAGCTGGCTGCAATGCTCCAAGGCGGTACTAGGGGGCGCTGTGCTGTGGGGGGGCTCTCCCCAGGCAGTCAGAGCTGGCTGCAATGCTCCAAGGCGGTACTAGGGGGCGCTGTGCTGTGGGGGGGCTCTCCCCAGGCAGTCAGAGCTGGCTGCAATGCTCCAAGGCGGTACTAGGGGGCGCTGTGCTGTGGGGGGGCTCTCCCCAGGCAGTCAGAGCTGGCTGCAATGCTCCAAGGCGGTACTAGGGGGCGCTGTGCTGTGGGGGGGCTCTCCCCAGGCAGTCAGAGCTGGCTGCAATGCTCCAAGGCGGTACTAGGGGGCGCTGTGCTGTGGGGGGGCTCTCCCCAGGCAGTCAGAGCTGGCTGCAATGCTCCAAGGCGGTACTAGGGGGCGCTGTGCTGTGGGGGGGCTCTCCCCAGGCAGTCAGAGCTGGCTGCAATGCTCCAAGGCGGTACTAGGGGGCGCTGTGCTGTGGGGGGGCTCTCCCCAGGCAGTCAGAGCTGGCTGCAATGCTCCAAGGCGGTACTAGGGGGCGCTGTGCTGTGGGGGGGCTCTCCCCAGGCAGTCAGAGCTGGCTGCAATGCTCCAAGGCGGTACTAGGGGGCGCTGTGCTGTGGGGGGGCTCTCCCCAGGCAGTCAGAGCTGGCTGCAATGCTCCAAGGCGGTACTAGGGGGCGCTGTGCTGTGGGGGGGCTCTCCCCAGGCAGTCAGAGCTGGCTGCAATGCTCCAAGGCGGTACTAGGGGGCGCTGTGCTGTGGGGGGGCTCTCCCCAGGCAGTCAGAGCTGGCTGCAATGCTCCAAGGCGGTACTAGGGGGCGCTGTGCTGTGGGGGGGCTCTCCCCAGGCAGTCAGAGCTGGCTGCAATGCTCCAAGGCGGTACTAGGGGGCGCTGTGCTGTGGGGGGGCTCTCCCCAGGCAGTCAGAGCTGGCTGCAATGCTCCAAGGCGGTACTAGGGGGCGCTGTGCTGTGGGGGGGCTCTCCCCAGGCAGTCAGAGCTGGCTGCAATGCTCCAAGGCGGTACTAGGGGGCGCTGTGCTGTGGGGGGGCTCTCCCCAGGCAGTCAGAGCTGGCTGCAATGCTCCAAGGCGGTACTAGGGGGCGCTGTGCTGTGGGGGGGCTCTCCCCAGGCAGTCAGAGCTGGCTGCAATGCTCCAAGGCGGTACTAGGGGGCGCTGTGCTGTGGGGGGGCTCTCCCCAGGCAGTCAGAGCTGGCTGCAATGCTCCAAGGCGGTACTAGGGGGCGCTGTGCTGTGGGGGGGCTCTCCCCAGGCAGTCAGAGCTGGCTGCAATGCTCCAAGGCGGTACTAGGGGGCGCTGTGCTGTGGGGGGGCTCTCCCCAGGCAGTCAGAGCTGGCTGCAATGCTCCAAGGCGGTACTAGGGGGCGCTGTGCTGTGGGGGGGCTCTCCCCAGGCAGTCAGAGCTGGCTGCAATGCTCCAAGGCGGTACTAGGGGGCGCTGTGCTGTGGGGGGGCTCTCCCCAGGCAGTCAGAGCTGGCTGCAATGCTCCAAGGCGGTACTAGGGGGCGCTGTGCTGTGGGGGGGCTCTCCCCAGGCAGTCAGAGCTGGCTGCAATGCTCCAAGGCGGTACTAGGGGGCGCTGTGCTGTGGGGGGGCTCTCCCCAGGCAGTCAGAGCTGGCTGCAATGCTCCAAGGCGGTACTAGGGGGCGCTGTGCTGTGGGGGGGCTCTCCCCAGGCAGTCAGAGCTGGCTGCAATGCTCCAAGGCGGTACTAGGGGGCGCTGTGCAGTCTCCCCAGGCAGTCAGGGCTGGCTGCGGTGCCCCAGGGAGGTACTAGGGGACGCTGTGCAGTTTCCCCAGGCAGTCAGGGCTGGCTGCGGTGCCCCAGGGCAGTACTAGGGGGCGCTGTGCAGTTTCCCCAGGCAGTCAGGGCTGGCTGCGGTGCCCCAGGGCAGTACTAGGGGGCGCTGTGCAGTTTCCCCAGGCAGTCAGGGCTGGCTGCGGTGCCCCAGGGCAGTACTAGGGGGCGCTGTGCAGTTTCCCCAGGCAGTCAGGGCTGGCTGCGGTGCCCCAGGGCAGTACTAGGGGGCGCTGTGCAGTTTCCCCAGGCAGTCAGGGCTGGCTGCGGTGCCCCAGGGCAGTACTAGGGGGCGCTGTGCAGTTTCCCCAGGCAGTCAGGGCTGGCTGCGGTGCCCCAGGGCAGTACTAGGGGGCGCTGTGCAGTTTCCCCAGGCAGTCAGGGCTGGCTGCGGTGCCCCAGGGCAGTACTAGGGGGCGCTGTGCAGTTTCCCCAGGCAGTCAGGGCTGGCTGCGGTGCCCCAGGGCAGTACTAGGGGGCGCTGTGCAGTTTCCCCAGGCAGTCAGGGCTGGCTGCGGTGCCCCAGGGCAGTACTAGGGGGCGCTGTGCAGTTTCCCCAGGCAGTCAGGGCTGGCTGCGGTGCCCCAGGGCAGTACTAGGGGGCGCTGTGCAGTTTCCCCAGGCAGTCAGGGCTGGCTGCGGTGCCCCAGGGCAGTACTAGGGGGCGCTGTGCAGTTTCCCCAGGCAGTCAGGGCTGGCTGCGGTGCCCCAGGGCAGTACTAGGGGGCGCTGTGCAGTTTCCCCAGGCAGTCAGGGCTGGCTGCGGTGCCCCAGGGCAGTACTAGGGGGCGCTGTGCAGTTTCCCCAGGCAGTCAGGGCTGGCTGCGGTGCCCCAGGGCAGTACTAGGGGGCGCTGTGCAGTTTCCCCAGGCAGTCAGGGCTGGCTGCGGTGCCCCAGGGCAGTACTAGGGGGCGCTGTGCAGTTTCCCCAGGCAGTCAGGGCTGGCTGCGGTGCCCCAGGGCAGTACTAGGGGGCGCTGTGCAGTTTCCCCAGGCAGTCAGGGCTGGCTGCGGTGCCCCAGGGCAGTACTAGGGGGCGCTGTGCAGTTTCCCCAGGCAGTCAGGGCTGGCTGCGGTGCCCCAGGGCAGTACTAGGGGGCGCTGTGCAGTTTCCCCAGGCAGTCAGGGCTGGCTGCGGTGCCCCAGGGCAGTACTAGGGGGCGCTGTGCAGTTTCCCCAGGCAGTCAGGGCTGGCTGCGGTGCCCCAGGGCAGTACTAGGGGGCGCTGTGCAGTTTCCCCAGGCAGTCAGGGCTGGCTGCGGTGCCCCAGGGCAGTACTAGGGGGCGCTGTGCAGTTTCCCCAGGCAGTCAGGGCTGGCTGCGGTGCCCCAGGGCAGTACTAGGGGGCGCTGTGCAGTTTCCCCAGGCAGTCAGGGCTGGCTGCGGTGCCCCAGGGCAGTACTAGGGGGCGCTGTGCAGTTTCCCCAGGCAGTCAGGGCTGGCTGCGGTGCCCCAGGGCAGTACTAGGGGGCGCTGTGCAGTTTCCCCAGGCAGTCAGGGCTGGCTGCGGTGCCCCAGGGCAGTACTAGGGGGCGCTGTGCAGTTTCCCCAGGCAGTCAGGGCTGGCTGCGGTGCCCCAGGGCAGTACTAGGGGGCGCTGTGCAGTTTCCCCAGGCAGTCAGGGCTGGCTGCGGTGCCCCAGGGCAGTACTAGGGGGCGCTGTGCAGTTTCCCCAGGCAGTCAGGGCTGGCTGCGGTGCCCCAGGGCAGTACTAGGGGGCGCTGTGCAGTTTCCCCAGGCAGTCAGGGCTGGCTGCGGTGCCCCAGGGCAGTACTAGGGGGCGCTGTGCAGTTTCCCCAGGCAGTCAGGGCTGGCTGCGGTGCCCCAGGGCAGTACTAGGGGGCGCTGTGCAGTTTCCCCAGGCAGTCAGGGCTGGCTGCAGTGCCCCAGGGCGGTTCTAGGGGGCGCTGTGCAGTCTCCCCGGGCAGTCGGGGCTGCCCCACTGCGGCATTAGGGGCGCTGTGCCGCAGATAGCAGGGTGCTGTTTCCTCTCCAGGCGCCTGCTGCCAGAACTGGGGTGTGACCCTGCCCCAGCACGTGACCGGCTGGAGAGACTCCTGTGTGACGATCCCTTGCTCCTACACCTACCCCAAGGGGCAGCTGGTCAGAAGCGTGACCTGGTGCCGGGGCAAGGAGAAAATTGTGCAGCTCCCTGGGGCAACGGGGCAGGACTACAGCAAGGCCAAGCGCGCCCAGCTCCTGGGCGACCTGCAGCACAACTGCAGCCTGCGCCTCGGGCCACTGGAGCTGGGAGACGGGGGCACGTACCATGTTGAGTTCCAGACTGAGACCAATAAAATGTGGAGAAGCCCTCGAGCCCTGTGCCTCACGGTGTCAGGTAATCACAGCCCCCGCTTGCAAACGAGGGTTACCCATCCCACAGCCCGGCCCTGTGTAGCTGCTCCTCACTGCCCCGCCCCAGAGGTGGCTGCAGGTCAGCGCTGGGCGAGCCGTCTCTGTATGGCATTATGGGTGACCGTTCTGCCCCTGCTCTACCCCAGAGGTGGCTGCACCTTAGAGCCCATCGAGCCGCCCCCTGTACACCTCTGCTCACGTGTCTCTCCAATCACATGACTCCGTTCTGCTCAGCCATGAAGTCACAGTGGAGCCCAGAGGTCAGAGCGCGGGGTGGGGGGGGACCAGGACTCCTGGGTTTTATCCCAGCTCTGGGAGGGGAGCCTGGGACAGGTCACACCCCACCTGACCTTGATGTAGCTCTCAAAGAGGAGCAGGGGTGTTGGCTGGAGATGGCCGTGCCCCCAGTAGTGACTGGCTCCCCTGGCACCCTCTGCCCAGAACATCCCTGCAGCATTGGAATTGGCTTCGGCAGGACATCAGGAGCCCTGACGGGCCGCTTGCTGTGCCACGTGTCCGAGCAGTGTGCCTGTTCTAACCTGGCGTGGTACGACAGAGCTGGTGCGCAACTCCGGGAGCAAAAGGCGGGGAGCCGCAGTGCCTACGTGGGCATGAACATCATCTGGCAGCACCGGGGCACGGCGCTGGAGTGCCAGGTGCAGGGCTTCCAGAAAAGATGCCTCCCCCAAGGGTGCCAGTCCCCAGCCACAGGTGAGTGAAGTTATGTGCAGGGCCTTTCCCCTCCAGAGGGCGCTGGTTCTGACCCATCTCCGATGACGTTTCCAGGCCGGCCTCGCCAGCTGAAGGTCCTGGTGGACACGGAAGGCCCGGGCCCAATCCGGGAGGGCGACTCGTTCACACTGAGATGCGTGGGGGACATGGAGCCATCGCACCGGAGCTACTACTGGGTTCACAATGACGTGGACTTGCCCTCCGCCTACTCCGTGCGGGTGGAGGCAGCGACCTTGTCTGACAGGGGCAACTATACCTGCATAGAGTGGGTCTCCGGGCCCGGGTGGGGCTACCTGGCTGTGTCCCACACGATCTACGTGGGCATCCTTGGTGGGTAGCCAGTCCCGGGGCAGGGCCACAGCTGGGGGGAGTTGTGAAACCAAGGAGCATAGATGGGAGGGGCCTCCTCTCCCCCACATTCCATTTGGGGGCGGGGCCACAGCAATAAGGGGTGGGACCAGGTTCACAAATGGGAGGGGCCTGCCTTATGTGGGTGGGGCTAGAGTATTGGGGACAGAGCAATGGAGCCCCTCTGCACCCTGCAGACTGTGCCTAACCCCCCCGGTCGCTGTCCCACCAGTGTGCCGTGCCTCATCTCTTGTTCCGCTTCCTCTGCAGTGCCCCCCGTGGTGCATGTGGTGGCCACCCCAGGCCCTCATTGCAGCGCGGGGGAGCCCTTGTCCCTGATATGCCGGCTGAACACCAGTGCCTATGGTGGAGTGGGCTTCTCCTGGTACAAGGACGGCAAGCGGCTGGAATGGGCAGAGCCAGAGCTGGCTTTTCCGGGGGTCCAAGTGAAGGATGCGGGGCAGTATCAGTGTGAAGTGCACAACACCCTAGGGAAATCCACCTCCCTGCCACTCATCATCACTGTTGTGTGTAAGTACCCAACACATTTGACTCCCCAGCCTATGGTGGAGTGGGCTTCTCCTGGTACAAGGACGGCAAGCGGCTGGAATGGGCAGAGCCAGAGCTGGCTTTTCCGGGGGTCCAAGTGAAGGATGCGGGGCAGTATCAGTGTGAAGTGCACAACACCCTAGGGAAATCCACCTCCCTGCCACTCATCATCACTGTTGTGTGTAAGTACCCAACACATTTGACTCCCCAGTACAGAGACCCCAAGTACCATAATTCAGCTTTCCCCCCAGTGCCGCTCTGTCACCATCCTTCTTCAGGATCATCCACAGTAGATAAGCGTCCAGCTCCTGCTCCAGCTGAGTTCCCTTTGTTGACCTGGCTCCTTTCTCCCTGTCCAGTGCACAGAGCCATTTAGCAACTGAATGGTTGCCCTGTCGTCAGGCTGAGAAACACCATTCAAATCCCATACATTTGGTTGAAATTTAATATTTTTTTAATCATCAGTAAAAAAAAGTCTGGTTCTCTCCCACCATTAGCTCTTTGCCAGACTTTACATTACATTTCACAGTATTTCTGAAAGGGCAGTTGTTGAAAATTATAATAAATAAAAATGAAAGTCAAATAATCTGTTAAACAGAAAATGGTGGGGGTGGCAAAAAAAACTGTGTAGGTTTTTGAGGAACTGACAATTGTTATGGCTGATCAAAATGTAGATAAACCATGAGACGAACAGTTTGAGGAAACGCTCGCTCAAAGTCGGATTCAGCATTTGACGAAAAGCTGGATTCAAAGTTTAGCAAAAGTTTCAAATAGCAAATTCCCAACCCTTTTGGGAGGAACACCCACATCCTGCTGTGATTATACTCAACTTTTCATTCTACCATTTGCCTTTTGGGTCTCTCACTTGGGGCAGGTTGAATCTCACTGCAATCTCAGCTCGGGCTGGGCCTGTCTATGGCTGGGGCTAGGCAGCGCCTGGCACAACGGGGTTTTATGAACTTGGGAAATTTCAATGTCCAATAAACACTTGGGAGGAAAAATCTCCCAGTTAAAAATCCAGCTTCCTTCCCACCCCCTCCAGTGAGATGTACCTTCATTGCCCACCGCTTCCCCCAGCCCCCTGGACTATGCTTTCCCCTCAACCAGCTCCCACCACCTGTTAGTCCCCAGCTCGGCACAGGGACTAACAGCTCTTGTCCACTCCCCCAGATGGCAGTGACTGGTACCGGCTGAGCCCTGGCCCCATGGCTGGCTTCGGGGCAGGGGTCCTGCTGCTCCTCCTCCTGAGCAACCTCGGGGTTTATTGCCTGGCCAGGAGAATCTGCCCCTGGCAGGAACCGGAAGAGACTCTGCCAGGTAAGGGTCTCCCTGGGGGCGGCAGGGAGAAGAGGGGACCCTGCCTTCTGGAAAACCTGGAGTATGGGCGTGGGAAGGAAACAGCGTGTCTCTGTCCCTGCTGGAGGAGTTGAGTCCTGCCCTGAGAGAGTCTGTGTCCCTGCTGCCCCCTGCTGGAGGGCCATCTCTCTCGCTCTCTGTGTGCCCGTGTGCATCCCTGCTGGAGGGGATGAGCCAGCCCTGTGGGGGCAGGGGGAGGGGACAGGCCCTGCCCTGAGAGAGAGAGAGAGAGAGAGAGTCCTCCTGCTGGACAGGATGAAGAGACAGTGTCTGTGTCCCTGCTGCCCCCTGCTGGAGAGAACGGGCCCTGCCCTGACAGAGAGTCCTGTGTCCGACCAGAACACCTGGTCGAAAAGGGACCCTGGAATCTCTGGTCAGCACAATGGGCCGGACCATTAAAAGTCCAGCTGGCGCAGGGCTCGCAGGCTCCCTGCCCAGCTCTGCTGGCTCCTGGGAAGCGCAGGCATGGGGAGGTGCTGGCAGCAGAGTCCCCAGGCCAGACCTCCGCCTAGGCCCTAGGAGCTGGAGGGACAGGAATCTGGATCCAAGGTCATTGCTGCCCTAAACTAGGGGTGTAGGCGAGTAGTCGAGTACCGAGAAGCCTGGGCTTACTGCTTAGTGGAGTCACTCTTCGACTACTTGCTCCCCCCTTGCTGCCTCTATTAAAAGCCGGCTCCCCACAGCACTGTCTCCACGGTGCCACCTACCCTCCACCCTGCGCTGCTGCCTCTACCAATCCCGGCTCAGTCCCGGCTCATGCTGGGTCCGGGGCTACCACCGCTGCGCCTCTGCAGTTTAGGTACTGCGAGCCAGGACTTCCCTTGTCGACTCATCGTGTAGTCGATAAAAATTGTATCGACTACACGATTTGTGGATCACCCACCTCTTAACAGCCTCACCCTAAACCCCCATCACACCCTACACTTCTGCCCTGAGCTCCTCCCACACCCCAACCCCGAGCTCCCACTCCCACCCCTACCCCCTGCCCCAGACTAGAGCTGCTTCCTACACCCTGAACCCCTCATTTCTGGCCCCATGCCAGAGCCCACACCCCTTCCCACCCCTCACTGTCCCAACCTAGGGAAAATGAGCCAGTGGGGGAGAGCAAGCAATGGGGGGGAGGGTGCAGTGAAGGGGCAGGGTAAAAGTGTTTGGGTTGGCAGCTCAAGTCTCCCTGCCCCCCCCTGCGTCCCAACCTAGGGAAAATGAGCCAGTGGGGGAGAGCAAGCAATGGGGGGGAGGGTGCAGTGAAGGGGCAGGGTAAAAGTGTTTGGGTTGGCAGCTCAAGTCTCCCTGCCACCCCCTGCTGGAGGATCCCTGCCCTGCGGGTGTGATGTTGGCAGAAGCAGCCTGCTGGGGGCTGCCGGGGGCGGTGGAAATGGTCGACTTGCAGAAACATAAAAAGCAAAAGGGGTAAATTGTCTCCTTCCCTAGGGGGCTGCAGAGTGGACTCCAGCGCCCCACAGGAAGACTCACTGTATGAGGTTAGTGGGGAAGCATCTGCCAGCCCTGGGCCCCACTGCCCCCCCTGCTGGCTGGGAGTGATGTGCAGCCTCTCCCCCCAGCCATCTGAAGCTCTGCTATGTGTAAATCTCCTAATAGGATTAAGTGGCATTTCATTTGTGAACATGCCTAGCTTCCTGCACAGCGGTGAGTTTCCCCCTTAGGGATTAATGAATGAATATTTAATGGAAGTATGTCAGCTTCACAATCATATTCTTCTTGTTTGTCCATGTCAGGCCTGATTCTAGCCAAACATATACCTCTGCCTATCAGGAGCATGTCTTTGTTTTCCCTCATAGGTCATGTTTTCTAGACCAGCGGTCCCCAACGTGGTGCCAGGGGGCGCCATGGCGCCGCCGGGCCATTTCTGTGCACCCACTGAGTGATCGGGGCCGGCCCCGCCCCCAGGCGCGCGGTGCATGGGCGGTGCCAGTCCCTGGGTGTGTGGCGGTTAGGTGGCCCCACCCCTGGGTGCACAGCGCAAGGTCTGTGCCAGCCCCGGCCCCGGGCATGCGGCGTATGGGCAGTGCCGGCCCAGGCGCGCAGCACAGGAGCAGCGCCAGCCCCAGGCGTGCAGCACAAGGATGGCCCCGCCCTCGGGTGAGCGGCACAAGGGCTGTGCCGGCCCCGGGCTTGCAGAGTAGGGGCGGCCCCACCCCCGGGTGTGCAGCACAGTTGCGCAGCGTATGGGTAGCCCCACCCCCGGGCGCGTGTGCGGCCCCGCCCCCGGATGCCGACATGTGAGCAGCCCCCCCCGGGCGCTCAGCAGCCCCAAAAGGTTGGGGACCACTGTCATAGACCCTCTCACACTGATGGCTAGGGAAGAGTCTCCTCATCAAATAGCCAGGACCTGCGCTGGTGCAGGAGGCTGGGAGACCTCTGCCCAAACCCAGCTGGGGATGCTCAGGCTGAGTGTGCCACATAACTGCAGTTCACAGCTCTGTAAGGTGGTAAAGGCAGAGATGGAACCCAGGAGTCCGGGCTCCAAGCCATCTGCCCCCTACCTAGCTCTAACCACTAGACCAGAGAATCTCCCAGTTGCCAGGTACAGGTACCCACTATTGTAGGTACAGGCAGATATCACACACACATCTCCTGCTGGGGGGCTGACCCCTTTCACACACCCTGTCTCTCTTCCTGTGCCCCTGGCAGGAAATCATAGGAGTTGGGGATATTCCTCACCCCTCGGATAACACAGAGGACTATTACAACAGCTCAAAGAACTACTGTAACTGAGCACAGCTGAGATCCCTGCTGTCCGCGCTCCCACATCTACTGCGAGCCAGAACTCGATCAGATACCACTCTTCACTCCCTGGACAGCCTCCGGAAGCAGGGAAAGCCACGGGAACCCAGGTGTCCTGACTCCCAGACCTGCAGCAGCCTCACCTGGGCCACTGGCACTGGGTACCTCTGGGCAGGTTAACTGTAGCTTCCCTTTTCCAGGCTGAATTGGCGTTCAGGAGGCAGGTTGGCCTAGCAGCCAGAGAGCGGGACTGGGAGGAAGGCAATCTGAGGTCTGCTTGCCCCTGAGGAACTCACAGCCCTGCTCTGTGCCTCAGTTTCCCCATGTGTGCAAGAGGGGTAATGATCCTGCCCTCTTGTCTGTAGCACTTGGCCATCTCTGGCTGGAGAATGCCGGGCAGGGCAGTGTTACCGCCTGGCTGCTTTTTGCTTCAGTTCCTGCCCCTTTCCTGGATTTCACACAGTTTTGGTCGGGGAATTGCCCCTTATGTTTCTGGTCATTGGATAATAAAGTGGCTTTACAAAACCATCAGTCGGGGACCTGGGGCTGATTGTGCAGGGTCTGCAGGGAGCTGGGCCCAGGGGCTCTGGTTGTCACCTGCCCGTGAATGGAAAAAACTGCAAATTACAGCTCCCAGCACACACCCCCAGCTACAGCTCCC